ACGCACGCACGCACACACACACACACACACACACACACACACACCTTTCTTATACTCAGGTTCCTTCTCTGCCCAGATATCTTCTTCTCCAGACAGTTAGGTGCTCTTGCCTCTGCCAGGCTCCCAGAGTATGGGCATCCCACCATCAACTTTCCCAAACCTCACATGTTTTCCTTGCCATGACCATCATGTAACTTGCTGGTGTTTATTGAGTGCCTGTGGTGCACCCAGCCCCATTATCCTATTGCAGGATGCAGCTGCTGCATTTGTGTGAGTCCAAGCCTGTGTGTAGTGAAGCTGGAGACCAGCATACCGTGCTCTTGAGCCACCTTAGCAGTGGCCTCCGCACAGCCCCCTCCTTCTTTACACAGTTCCAAGCAAAGGGAGTGAGGGAGATGGCGCTGTCGCACCCCTTTTCTAAAGGGAAATTCCACCCTGCACCAGATTCTGACTTGTAATTTGACTCCGTGGCTCTCAGCAAGATCTGTGATTCTGCATTTTTCATGAGCCCCTGGCAGCATTCTGATGTCGATGATCCTGACCAAGGCTTCAGAGAGGGGAGACAGCACAGAGCAGGATGCAGAAAGGAAGTGGATCTCGTTCAGAGACATTAGAATTGAAGTAATGAAAGACAGGGACATGAGGAACCATAAAAGCAGCCAGCCAGAACTGATTGCTGAGCAGCGGGGTGGGCTAGGCTGCCCAGGAGCTTCCAGTTGGCAGGCTACAAACATGGCTACCTTCAGAACTTCAACACACCTTCCCTTTCTTAACACAGCTCTGGCTGGAAGGAACACAGTCCCCAGTGCCTGTCTGTCTCTACACAGTTGTCCTGTCTGTAGAGGTCATTCCTCAACTAGATACCCTGGCCGAAAATGTAAGAGGCAGGAATCGTGGTTTTAATGCATTCTTTCAGGAGCAAGGTCAGTCATAGAGAGGAAAGGGGAGGAAATCGTGAAGAAGCGAGGGAGCCAAAGAGAGAAGTAGGTAGGAAGGAAAGAGGTTAATGGTCCTCCAAGAAAGCACAAAAAAAAAAAAAAGTCACCCTCAGCAGCCCACATGTTTACCCACCTGCCCTGGGCTGACCTGCAATATTCCAAGGATATCTTTCATAGTTCTTCTCATATACCTTTCGTTTGTGCATATTTATTGTCATATTGTAGATAAGCAAGGAGATGGGACTTTCTATCTCACTGGCGTGCCCTTAGCTTTCTCTATAGAGAATGTTTGCAGGGTGTGTGTTCTCGCTCTTTAAAAGCTGGAAGGTGAAAATCCTGAGAAAACAAGTACCCAGCACGCAACCCTGGCAGAGCCTGGGGCTGACATTTGCAGAAAGTCTTGCTTCCTATTTGACTTCCCAAACTTTGTGGGAGAAATAGGTATGTAAACCAAGCAGGTTCTACCTCCTATGATACTTAAATATAGTCAGACTCTCCTGGCTAGGAGACATCTGCAATGTCTTTGCCTCTCGGAAGGACTTGCAATGTCTACTGACTTGCAATGGCTGCTGTCTTGCTACTAACTACAAAGATGATGGTTGTGCCACGCCGCAGTGCCCCTGGGTACAAACAGAACTCATTTACTAGGTAGAGGGTTGAGTGAGACAGACTCTCCCGGCCTGCCCTGGGAGTCACTGGGGCTCAGCGCTGTCATATACCCACGCACAAGCCCGAATCAGTGAAGATTCAGCTATTTGTTTTTATCATCTTTCTGTCTGCAGACATCCCCTGGGAAGAGGTTTCAAACACAGTCATTCAGGACATCACTTCCTCTCACTTCTTTGGCGTCTTCCTTCCCACTCTCTATTTTTGGATTAGCTGAAAGGTCAGGATAGCCAGGTATCGGTGACAGGAAGTTAGGGACTATGAAATAAATTCCTGGAGCTTGTGCAACTCGGAACTCCTCACAGGCTCTGCTTTCAATGAGACGTAACCAAGTGGTGAGCAGCTAATCCCTTGACTCCATGAAATCTATTCTGGATGCCAGAGGGCCACAGGCCCACACGCCATTTTCCACCTTATAGATTGGTTGTAGTGTTCAACTGCCTTGGGTCTCACAGTGACAAGCCTCCCACCCACCAGAGAGGATGTCAACAAGACAGATGCCTGCAAGCTTGGATTTTGTCAGTGCTGCATTCTAATCTGTCCCTTTCGGGACTCATTGGGAAAGGACTTAAATAAGCCACATCTTTTCCACACATCCCCCCCATCTGCCATAAATTTTAAAAACAATCCAATTTTCAAATAATCCACCCTGTGGTCTCTTTCCTGTTTCTGTCTCCAGAAGTTGCCAGTTTGACTTAGCCCTGCACTGTCCAGGATGGCAAGCGAAGCCAAGCCACACATGCCTACTGTGTGCCTGAAATGCCTTGCCTAATTTAAGATGTGTATAAATGTCAAAAAACACATCATATTTAAAAAATGAGATATGAAAAATTAAATACAGCAATAATTTTATATATAGAAATTATAAAGCTTGGGGCATGTTGGATTAATTAAAACATTCATAAATTAATTTAATCTGTTTCTCTTTACTTTTTATGTGGCTTCTAGAAACTTCTAAGTTACAAACATGCTATATTTCTATTGAACAGCACCTGGCCTAGACATTCCAGTATTTCCGAGATCAAATGATAGCAATTTATGTTTGAGAGAGAGCCAAAACCCTTCATCCAACCATGTGTTTGAGGTTTTAGCTTCAGAAGGAGCAGCCCTTGTCCATACTTCATTATCTTCAGCCCACGCCACACAGAACACACACCAACCGGAGACTATCAGAAATACCATTGCTTCCCACTGGCCTCCCATTCCTGTCACTCTCTCTAGAATGCTGTGATCATCATCAAGAAAGTTTCTGAACCATTAAAATAAATATGCTTCGGTCAGTGCTCAGCCCTGAGTCTCTCGGAGTAAAAGCAAGTCTCGATTCTCTCTATCCCCGGGAGACAAACATGGTCAGTCTTTGCACTGCCTTTTAGAAGACGGCTTAGCTCCCTCTTGCTGTTTCATGTATTTGTCAAGAGATTACACTGTCAGATTAGGAGTGACACGCTGAGCTAACGGTATTGTAAGTGCTGGCCTTTGGAATAAGAAGCCACACAAAACTTAGTAATGGAAAAACCAAGGGTGGTGTGTTGTGGGGGTACTCGTATATGGTGTGAAGATATATTGCTGTGATTGGCTTAATCAAGAGCTGAACGGCCAATATCTAGGCAGGAGGTTTAGGTGGGCCTTCCAGTCAGGGAGAGGACATAGGAGGAGATAATGGAGGTTCGGGGAAAGATGCCAGGAAGACACAGGAGGCAGTGGGACATACAGAATGAAAGAAAGATAGAGAGCCACATGGTGAAATGTAGATTAATAGAAATGGGTTAATTTAAGTTATAAGAGCTAATTAGGGACAAGCCTAAGCTATAGGCTGAGCTTTCATGATCAATAAGAAGTTTCTGTCATTTGGGAGCTGGTGGAGCAAAGAAAGACTCGTTGGAGTAATAGGAACAGAGAAAAAGGTGTCTGCAATACTCTGGGAATTAAAACCAGGAGCTCATCCCAGCTATACAGGGGGTTATGGCAGTGGTGTACAAATCATGCCACACAATATATGGAAGTTTGCTTTGGGTTTTTTTGTTTTGTTTTTTGTTTTTTGGTTTTTTGTTTGTTTGTTTTTGTTTTTTGCTTTTTGTTGGGGGGACATATTTTGTTTTGTTTCTGACAGGAGAATATTGGTCCTTCAAAGGAACACAGATGGAACGATTTCTGGAATCCTAGAAAATCATGTGACAAATGTCACATGTATCTTATCGGGAGTGTTCCTGGAAACTTGCTGAAAGGCAGACAGGAAGGTGGTCATGGTCTGGACTAGGAAGAGCTGCCCAGAAAAGCTGAGTAGGTCAGAGAGGACCAGGGTGGGAGGGAGGGGCCTCCCTGAGTGTTGACACCTCCCACGTGTGTCCACAAAGGTGACTCTATCCAGACCTTCAGCTCTTGATGAGTCTGAAAACTACCAGACTAAATCTGTAGCAAAAATTTAACCATTAAACTCCTGAGGAATGTTTACCAACCACGAAGTAAACCTAGACGTGCCCTCCCAGATTTCACACCGTGGCTGCTGGCTGGGGTTACCCTTGCCCTTAGAGAAAATTTCATCACACATAGTATGCACCCCAAAAGCTTCTTCTGTGAACTGCACTTGTCTCTCTTGATGCTAAAAACAAGGTAAAAGTCAGCACTAAAAACAACTCTGTTGTAGTTTCCTTATCAAGCAACAGGATATACCCAGTACGATGTCGTAAACCTTTAGTCCCATTGCAAGGGAGACAGAGGCAGGGGGATCTCTCTGAGCTTGAGCCCAACAGGGTCTACGTTAGTAAGTTACAGGCCAGTCAGAATCACATGGTAAGAACCTGTCTCAGGAGGAAGGGAGGGAGGGAGAATATACATTAGCTTAAAATGTGACACAGAGTATAGCAGATGTATTTCGGTTATTTATTGTGTTTTGGTTGGTTGTTTGGTCTGGTTTGCTAAGATACAGACCAATCCCATCTTGTAGTCCAGGCTGGCCTTGATCCTCCTGCCTCAGTCTCCCCCGTATGCTCAGACCACAGCCATGTACCACCATGCCCAGAGATTTCTGTGTTTCGCCATTACTCCCGAGCAAAATCCAAATCAGCTCACTGTTTCTGGGCTGTGCTTCTCCAACCCAATCAGCCAATTTATCTCCAGCATTCAGTCTCTGCCCCCACAGTGTTAGATGGGGACAGTACACACTCTTCTGCTGGAAAATGGGCTCAGTAAGAAGCATGGAAGGCTAAGCTTGAACGAGAATTGAGCCCAGTTTTGGGTACTGCTCTGGACTATAGACCACAGAGCCCCCAGCATCTAAACACTAGTCACAAGCATGAGTAATTAGAGTGGCTGTGATGAGAGTGTGAGATGCAGAACCTCATGGCTAAGAGGTTCCAAACTCAGGAGGAGACATCTGGTGTTGTAGGAGCCCCACCGTGAGTTCTGAGGTACAGGAGGCCAATAGTGTAGTCAAATCCAGAGGGAGGAGGACTTCAAGCATAAGAAAGGGGTGGGAGATTCTTGCTGGCTTCGGAAGCAGTCCTGTGGACAGAATGTTTAATAAGCAGAAGCTAGACTCGTAATACAATTTTATTATCAGCTAAACTTGTGACACAGGCAACAAAGGGTTAATACATAATGGCTTCTACCAACATCAGCTTGGGGTTTTGACAGGGGCTGTGTTATATAAGGATGCTATCATGGCTGGAAAGATGGGTGAATTGAACATGAGAAATGTACTTTTTTTTTTTAATTTCTTGTGAGTCAAAATATTCCCTATTTTATGCCACCACCGTGCCCCAGCAGAGTCCCTCACTGTCCTGGAAGGGGAGTGGCTTTCCCTTCCCTCTAAAGCCTACTCTTACCACAGTGTCCAAAGAGCTAGGGTCTCAGACTGCGCTGTGACTATCTGCAGGGCCTGAGATACAGGGATAATTCACAGGGCCCTCTGGCAACTGAGCGAGGCTCTAAGAGGACTGAGTGGTGGCATTAGCTGGACGTGGTGCTGAGCCACTGTGACTTGGAGTCTCCAGAATTTGGACATTCCAAGAGCGCATATGTGTCCCTTCCCACAATACCTCATGGCCACAACCACTAACCAGGCTTCTGCCTTCTTTTCTTTCCAGGATGCTTCCATTGCACACAGATTCCACATGATGAGAGAGAAACATCCTGAAAAATTCAACAGCAGGTAAGCGAGCATGCGAGCTGCTGCGGTGGCACCCCGCCCGCCCAGTACTGCCAGCAGCGCGGCCTCCCACCTGCTACCACGGAAATGTCCTTGGCCTGGGTCGCCCCGGACTTAGCTTTCCTGCCACGTTGCCGGAAGGAGGGTTTCCATTTCTAAGAAGAAGAAAAAAAAAAATGTCAGAAACCTGCCGCAGTCTGGCTGCCGGTCCCCTCCCGTAGGAACTGAGCAGAGGGAGGCGTCTGGGGACCGCATGGGTGGCAAGAAGCCTGCCTTTGGCCACCTGGAACCTCTCCAGGGACTCAGAGGTTTCCCCCAAAAGCCCAGCTTCCCGCAGCCGCAGGAGCCTGGGAGAGAAGGGCTTTGCTGGGGTCTCGGATCCGGGGAGGTGCCAGCCTCCCTCCCAGACAGCAGAGGGCAGCAGCGAGGCCCCTGCCAAGTCAGTAATCCCGGAGGGCACCGGGTGGCCTCGTGTGGGAGCCCGCATGCCTGGAGATTGGGTTCAAACATGAAAGAATAGAGAAAACCAGGTCAGTTGCAAGCGAACCTGCCTTGCAAAGCGAATGTAATTTACCAGAATCGAAATGTGACTGGCATACAATCACCGTGGAGTTGTCCACTTTCCTTTTCTTCATTTCTCTCTCTTCTTGGGAAAGCCTTATCCAATTCTGTCCTCTGTTGTACTATTTCATCAAGATCATCATTGGACTCCATGCCTAGCCTCAGGCACGTGGGGGACAGTGGGGTAGCAATCTGGACTTGATCTCTGAACGTAGAGGGATGGTCTTATATTTAGCCCACAGAATTCTCCTCAAAGCAGAAGTTACAGTGTTATTTGAAACCCTGATCCTCATTCTGCAGCCTGGGAACTTAACCAGGGAGTGGCTTGACACAGTGACTTAACACTTAACATCAGACCAGCAATCAGACAGCAGATGAACAGCTTTAGGGCTGTATTCTGTCTCACTCAGCCCTAGGCCCACAACTCACTACAGACATGTGCTGCCAGCCCAATACGTAGTCACCAACTAGCAATGTTATCCTGTCCCTCAGCCTTCTTCACTCCTGAACAAGGACACAGCAGTCACTATTCCTAAATTGGTATACCTATTTTATTAAACTATTTACACTGGAAAGGGGGACAAACTATTATGACTTTTTAAAGTCAAATACCAATCTATTAATGAGAAGGAAAGATGACGGGCACAAAACCCAAGTTGTGTTATGCCCAAAGCTTGTGGTCATTGATATTGTGGCTGAAACGGACAATACTCAGCCACGGGTTCATCTTGTGCCCTGAGCCTTTGTGTGCAGCAGGTTCAGGTAAAAGGAGCTAGTGTAGGTGACAGAGAGAACCTTTGTCACCCTCAGCGAGAGTCCAGATTTCCTCACACTTGGTCAGTTTACACAACTGTTTTGAAGCTTTTTTTATCACTTCAAGTCTTTTTCCGAGGTGGCCTTGAGCTCCACCACTGGGTAGGACAGGATGAAGGTAGTGATCTTTTTGAGAATCACTCCTTTGGGGGCTTTTTCATTGTGCCCCAACTCAGATCTGGTTGTACAGGGCAAAACTTGGATTTCAGCTCGTTTCTTCCTTGATGCTCTAAGATGTTATGTGTCCACCTCTCCTCGTTTCCTCTCTGTGTCTGAGGACCTGGGCTGGCACACTGTTGTCGTCGTTACTGATCTGTTTCCGGACCCTTCCAGTGCCTGACAGTCTTTCTGTGTAGAAGTGATGTTCATAAGTGAACAGGCTGCCCCTCTTGATGACCCTGTGGGCTGTGTGGAGGTATGCTGTGGCCTCTTCAACAGCGGACTCTGATTTGGACCTTTTGGCAGGAGACTGCCTCTTTCCCACACAAATAATATCAATTCCATCCTCATCCTCTTGTTCTTCTCCTCCACAAAAACCAAACCCATCTCCTCTCTTCTCCCAGAAAGGCGGATACTCATCTCAACAGAATGGCAGCCTCAAGACAGCTTTTTGGAAAACAGTCCTGCCCATCCTACAGACTCCCAGGGCCTTCTTTACACACATACCCTTGCAAGTACTCAAGTCTATGTGTCTGGAAAGATCCCTATGCCTGTGAAGTCCGTGGGTTATGCTCGCTCATTCATTCATTCACTCACTCACTCAGCAACATCCTTTAAAAATATACTGCAGGCTGGGCAGTGGTGGCGCACCCCTTAATCCCAACACTCGGGAAGCAGAGGCAGGCGGATCTCTGTGAGTTCAAGACCAGCCTGGTCTGCAAGAGCTAGTTCCAGGACAGCCTCCAAAGCCACAGAGAAACCCTGTCTCGAAAAACCCAAAAAAAGAAAGAAAGAAAGAAAGAAAGAAAGAAAGAAAGAAAGAAAAGAAAAGAAAAGATACTGCAGACCACACAACATTATATAGGCGTTTGGGACAGATGCCCCGTCACTTACTGCCCCCTGCTGGCAACAGGCTGAAAAGCAAACATGCATACCAGTGTGTGTAAAGTAATGTGAGCAGTGACCTAAGAGAATGGAGAGCACGGAGCTGGGCATGGGGAGTTTTCTAATGACAAAGATGCCCCGCCGGGGGTAAAGAAATCAAGAATATATGTTACAACTTGATAAAAAGAGAAGGGCAATCCCCAGAGAAGGAACAAGATGTATCAGAAGATAAAGAGTATGTTTCTGAAGAAGCAGCCCCCTGTGCAGCTGTTGCATGGCCCCTTGTCATGGAAAGGAAGGTGTCCCTTGTCGTTTTAGAGAATAAGGAAGCAGAAGACAAAGTTTCTGCCTATTCCAAAAATTGAGATCGCGCAACATGTGAGCAGAGGAGAGCCTCGGAAAACCTACATTATTAAGTCCAATTAGAAAGACAGATCAGTGGCAAGGGGGGGGGGGTCATAATGTGTGCCCGGGTGTTGAGTATGGAGGAGTTCATCATGACCTGTAGAATTCTTCCTCTTCTCACTCCCATTTACAGGACAACCAGATTTGGTGGGGTTCAAGCTTCGTGTTTCATTCACCCAGTAAAGATGACAGGAATATGGACCTGAATTCAAGTCTATGTGCTTGTTGAGAAATGAAGTTATTCAGAAGGAGCCGATGTTTTACAAAGTCACCAGCCATTTCCTCTGGAGAACTCTGGGTCCATGCCGCCTCCATCTTGCTTGCTTGCCTGTATCCAAAATACCCAGGAGTATTCAATTTGTCCACCGAGAGGCAGGCAAGCAGCCATTTTCTCTAGGCTTCCTTATTTAGCATTGGAGATGGTTTTAAATAGGCAGGTGGTTGTTGCCATGGTTACCCCCATTACACCAGCAGCTAAACTTAGGAAGGGCCACAAGGGAGAGGAAAAAAGCCTGATACCCAGGATTTGAAAATGTAAACGATATTATCAAACAAAGCTTCATTTTACTGGGATGAACTTAAGTTCTTCAAAGAGTGGTTGCTGCTTGGCTGCAAGCCTTTAGCATTAATGCCTGAGACTGGCCCCTCAGGGATAACCTTGAGGCTAAATATAGGGAGTTGTAATTGGTCTGTTTGCTTTGTTTGTTTTCAACAAGAGAGGGCTAGTCAGGGCTGGCCTTCCCAGGAAACCTGAACTTTCTTTCACATTGCTAGTCGTCTTGGGGTCTATTCTAGTAAATCTTAACCCAGGGCTCCAAAGGTTTTGGGGGTTCTGAGAACATTTTGAAATTGTACCAAAAATACGCCGTGTGTGTGTGTGTGTGTGTGTGTGTGTGTGTAGTTCTAAGGTCTGTAAATCCTAAAAGGCATCAAATTATGACTCAATTGTTGAGGTCTCTTAATGCTTCCCCCCAGTGATCTTTATATACTAGTTGTTGCCTGAGACAGTAGTAGTTTTTAAACACCAGTGTTCTCTCCTATGAAATAACTTTGTTAATGGAACAAAAGCCAGACCCAAGGAGGTGGTGGTGTGAGCTATCTCAACCAAGTTAGGCCCCTTCTACCACCTAGTTATTGTTTCTGATTTGGCAATGTCATGAAAATTATCATATCATTGTCAGCATACAGGACACAGAGTTTTAACTCTACTGAAATTCTAATATATTAGAAAGTGTTCTAGTGTGAGACATGATCACTGACTTTAAGAAATTCATACTCTAGCCAGGTATGGTGGCGCACACCTTTGTTCCCAGCACTGGAGAGGCAGAGGCAGGTGGATCTCTGTGAGTTTGAAGCTAGCCTGATCTGCGAGTTCCAGAACAGCCAAGGCTCTGTAAAATAAAAGGAAAGAAATTCACAGTCTAGCAAAGAAGGGAAAAAAGCCCTCAATTATTTTTTATGAAATTATTTTTGTACAAAAGGAATTTACACTTAGTAAGCCGTGGGCAATGCAGGCAGTGATTCAATGCATTAGAACACCTTAGCATCACTCCTCGAAGCTCACTCACAATCAGACTGGGGTTTGAGTGTGGAACCCAAAACAACTAAGATTTATGATTCACTCTGAGCTCCTGCTAGATGTCAAGTCGTTGACTAGGTATTTTATAATACATTAAATTATTTAACTCTCAAGACGACCTTACAATGTAAGTGTTGGCATTCTTGAATCGTGACTCTATGTGACAAGGAAACAACCTGGGAGAAAGTGACAGATTACCTTTTAAGCAGTGAGCTTGATTTAATTTCTAAATTACCTCTAAACTCCAGAGTTCAAGGCCCGCTGTCTCTCCAAGGGCTCGTTTGCATAGATCTGTGTTCTAGTATGTCTCTCCAAGGGCTCGGTGTTCTAGTGTTTCCAAAGCCTCCTCCTGGGGGCTTTACACACGATCCCACTCAGTGTTCATTATAAGACATAAGGGGGAGTGCTCGTGTTCCCATCTTCGAGACAAAGAAACCAAGGCTAAGGATGATGGTGACATTCTTGTTGACTTAGGGAGCACAGGGACATCACCCCTTTTCATCTAGTATAATTTAAGTCTTCTCCCTACTCCACTGTCCACAGCAAGGAGCAGAACTGGCTATGGGCTTTGGCCCTGAGCAAAATAAAATCATACAGTCTC